GAACCGCGATCCTCAGATCTCAGCCTCCTGAGTAGCTAGGATTACAGGCGTGAGCCACCAGAGCCCGGCCCTGGATCTCTTTTGATAGCTCATTCGTTTGTTCTTTAAATTTCGAATCTATTTCTCGTTTTAAAGTCATTGCCTCTATCATCTCTTGGATGTAGCATTTGTCTTCCATTTCTTTTTCACTTCCACTGGCGTTCTCCCCTGTGTAGTTGCTGGCCTTTGAGTCTGGTTTACTCTCTTGGTTGTTGAGGAATTTTGTAATTTTTCGCTGTGATTTTCGCATGTGGATTCAAGGATTGTTGGAGACCAATTCCAGGCCCTGATTGTTTTGGTCACTAGGTGTCTACCTTTGACTGGTTCTGGATTTGTTCCTGGATTAATTGATGTAGCTTGCTCTCAGTTTCTGGGCTGGTTGAGAGTATTTTACCTGGTCCAAGGTGCTGTTGTGGGAGGGGCCGCTTTCCAGCTGCTGGTCTGACTCATGTAGAGCTTACTCCTGTTAAGTTTATGGTGGGCAGACACACTCCACCCTCTGCTGGGGTGTGTACTCAGATCCTGACCAGTCAGGGACAGGCATTTGAGATGGTTTATCCTGGTACTGGTTGGGAGCTGTCCAGCGGTGCTGTGGCAGATGGCTGGTTTTGTGCACTGTAGGTTGCTGTTCAACATCATATTCCACGATCATTGAGATGATTGTAGGCTATGCTGGGTGGTGGTGCAGGCTGGGTCTGTGTTTCACAGTCTTTACCACTGTTTATGCTGTCCTGTGTGGTGTTGTTACTCTGGGGTTCCTCACATCTGCCACCCTGCTCTGGGCTGAACTGCTTCCATGGGCCACCCCAGGCTGGGTTGGGCTGCTTATGCAGGCCAGTGCTGGGAGGCACTGTGCCCCGCAGCGAGTCTGGGGTCGCCCTGGTCTGGGCCCCGGCACTTACGAGGGCCGGTGCAGAAAGGCTATGCGCTGCACTGCAAGTCTGGGGTCATTTGCTACTACCACTGCAGCCCCGAATTGGGTTGGGTTGCTTCTGAGGGCCGGGGAGAGAGATGCAGGGCTGGGAGTCTAGGGTTGCTTGCTGCTGCTGCTGCTGCCACTTCCCCACCATGGCTGCCACTGCCATCCCAGGCTGGGCTGGGGTGCTTATGCAGGCCGGTGCAGGAAGGCGCTGTGCCCTGCAGGGAGACTGGGGTCACCCCGGGCTGGACCCGACGCTTACTAGGACTGGTGCAGAAAGTTGCTGCACCGCGCTGCAAGTCTGGTACCACCGCAATTACCACGGCCCCAGACAGGTGCTGTGTCGTGCTGAGAGCCTGGGCTGGGCTGTTCCCCCAGGCCGATGTGGAGAGGCCCATGGGCTGCGCATCTGGGGTGGTTCATCACCATCACCACCGTTGCCACTGCTGCTGCCGCCCAGAGCTGGGCTGGCCTGTCCCGGCCGAGGTGCTGGGCGGTGGAGGGTCTTCCTGCGGGTTCTGCGTTCCAAGTTTTCTGTTTGTATTCTCCTGGTGGGCACTGGCTCTTGGGAGTCTTCCGGGAGGCTCGGGACGCTTGCGGCTCTGTGGTCCCTGGTGGGTCCTGGGCCAGGCGGCTGTAGGCTCAGCACGGAGCCCCACCGCTGGAGCGGCGGCTGCAGCCCGGCCCGCAGCAAGGGTGGGGGAAGCGTGGTGTAGGTTCTGGAGTTTTTCCTTTTTCTTTCTTTTCACTTCCTGTTTCTCTCTGAGTAATCGCCCTTTTATCGTTGTCGGTCTTTTGAAGAAACAGAGTGTTCAAACCAGAACTCTATTTGGTTGGAGAGGTGCTGTGTTTCCCTACTGTTCCGTGGCCATGTTAGGATTGCAATTTTCAGGCTAGCATGAGCTGTGGAGAGACCCTGTGCCAAACCACCAAGCGTGGGGGATGTAGCTCAGTTGCGCAAAGCTTGCTTAGCATGTGCAAGGCCCTCAATTCTGTTATCAGCGGTATACAACACACATACACATAGAAACAAACACATACAGACCATCTATTACACATTGTTCTCTCACTTTTTTGGCGGGGGGGTTGGTTGGTCGTGGGGCCTGAACTCTGGGCCTGGGCGCTGTCCCTCTGCTCTTCAGCTCAAGGCTAGCACTCTACCATTTGAGCCACAGCACCACTTCCAGCTTTTTCTGCTTATGTGGTGCTGAGGAATGGTACCCAGGGCCTCGTGCATGCAAGGCAAGCGCTCTACCACTGAGCCACCTTCCCAGCCCTGTCTCTCACTTTTAGGAAACTAGTATATTGTTCTTGAGTGATAGGATAAAGTGAAGGGATCGGGGCTATTGAGCTGCTACTTTATTTCCATGATTATTTGTTTGTGTGTGTTTGTGTGTGTGAGGAGGATATGTGTGCTTGGTGCATACATACCTGCACATGCATGCATGTGTATGCACTTGTATAAATGAAAGGTTAAGTCAGGCTAGATATCTAATCTAGAGAACTAAACAAAAGTAAAGATACCAAGGCAAGCAGGTATTTAGCCTCCCCACCCCCCCCCTTTTTTTTAAGAATACATACTTAGAGAATTCATCTGTGGCAGGAGGAACAGGTAGGTACTGGATCCCTAGGCAGTGAAGGCGGAAATCTAGCACTGGTGCTAGGAACAAGGGACCCAGGGAACATGGGGTGAGCAATACAAGGTCATAGTGTCATTGTTTTAAGAATCCATGTTAGCATGAAATGAGGAAGGATCTCAAAGGGAGAGTGCAATGTCTTCATCTTAAATGGTTTCAGTTTATGGATAAGTGTAAATCTGACATAGGAAATCTGGACAAAAAATCTATTTTAATAACATTTGTAGGAAGATAGTCCATTTTGAGCAAACCAATAGTGCCAATTTGGGGGCATTATGCCATAAAGGGTCTCTAATTAATAAGCTTACTTTTTGTTTTGGTCAATCACAACATTAACCTGCATCATATTTTTTTTTTCCTGGTTTGGTTTGCTGTAGCTGTTGTTTATTAAAAAATAAAAAAGACTTGGAAGAATGGTGGAATAAAAGATTTGAGTTTCTGCTTCAGCAATATTTTTTTTCTTGATTCTTTCCCACTCTTCTGTGTTATTGCTTAGGTTACTGTGCTTAAAGAAAACCCACAAGCAGAATTTGGGATCTTTAGATGTACAGACATGCCATCTACCCAGCCATGTTAATTTGTCTCCTACTATACTGCTATGACTATTCTAACAAATTCTTGATCCCTTTATTATTTTAAATATTTGTTCTCTGTCTGAAGTAAAAGGAGTTGGGAGACTGGGGGAGTAAGATTTGAGGGTGGTAGAGCTAAGAGATAAAGAGAAAAATCTTGGGGGGATCTGTCGTTAATTCTATGTTTTTTTTGACACCACTCACTTGATTCTTACACTGCTGGCTACAGAGAGTGGTCTGATCTCATGTAAGTGTTGAAGTGTGTGGCTACGAATGTTGTTGCCTGAAATTTCCAACAGAGGAGTTGAGTTGTAAGAGCACAAGGTTACCAAACATAGAACAATTGTTCTTGCTTTGAGATTCTGGCATTGCCTTTCTCAGCTTTAGATTTTGATATGTCATCGAGGTTTTAAAATAAGTGATCATCAAGAGATAAACCTCATGTCAATATAAGAAGTGGAGAAAAGTTATCTTGACACTGATCAAGATGAAATGTACTCATAAACTGATACATTGAACTAAAACACCTCTGCATAACTACTTAAAGATAATGAAAAAACAAACAAACAAGAGGAAAGTAGTTATTAACTGAAGAAAAGTAATCAGTATCATTGGACTACTTGAGTAGTATATTAGATCTTCCTGTTATCAAATCCATAATATTAATGATTTTGTGTGGTAGAAAACCTGAGTGCTATGATTTAAGTGACATTTCTTCACTGATTTTTCTGAGGCTGGCTTACTTTGGACAGAAGAGATTACTCTAGCACCCTAATTTATGTAGCTCATATCCTCAAGCCTTCCATGCCTTTTTAGGGTCTGTAAGGGTCTAATTTTACTGTCTGAATCAAGCTGATTATACTGAAGGAAAGACTGAGAAGAGGAAGAGGAAATATGTATAGTTTAATTTTTGGCAAGAGGGAAGATGGAACTGCTAACTTAGGGGAAAAAAGTGCATGTTGTTTAATATTTTTTTTTCCTGTTTGAAATGTTTTCTTCCCTTTCTTGGAGAGTTTTGTCTTGGGGTAGAAAATTCTTAACACATTTTTTTTCTCTTTTTCCTCTCAAATGTCTTCTAAGTGCACTTTAAGTAGTAATAACTGGCAGTTACTGACATGCACACACACACACACACACACACACAAACACACACAAATGGATTTTGCAGATGTAATTAAAGGTCTTTAGTAGAGACCTTATCCTGGATTATCCAAGACCAAAATGATCACAAAGGTTTCTTGGATTTAGGCATTTAGGAATGTCCCAATCACAGCAGTGATTCAGCAATGGAGTAAAGACCGGCATGATGGAGCAGTAAGCCAAGAAATGCAGACATCATGTAGTAGTTCAAAAAGAAGAGGAAAGATTCTTTCCATGAATTTCCAGCCCTGTCTACACCTTTATTGTAATTCTGTGATACCAATTTCAAACTTTCATCTTCTACAACAGAAAGACACTGTGTTGTGATAAGCCACTGTTTGCTTTTTTTAGAAGTGGCAATGGAAAATTCATACATGAATGATGCTTATTGAGTTGCGTTCAGACTCCATTCTAGACAGCAATCTCATCAAAGGATTATCAAGGGGAGATACTCTCTTGCAGACTTCACTTCAACCTGGAGGAAGCCTCTAAGAGTTACTGGGAAATTTACAGGCAGGGACTAGCGAGTACTTTTTCATGAAGGTTTAGACAAATCCGTTTATCTTGGGCCCGCTTCAGTGCCTTACTGGAGCTTATCTGTGAGCTGCAGAAGTGAGAGGAGAGCCAATGAGCTGAAAGCTCTCTCAGACAATCTGCTTCCTCCGTCTTTGCTTCAGTGCTTCATACAGGAAATCTAGTGCTGTGTCAAGTTCCAGAGAAGAGCCTCTTCTCTCCCAAGTTACTCATCAGGTGCAAATAGCTCATGAGGATAAGAAAGTGCTGAGGGAAAGGAGTGGTCTGCTGTGGCTGGGCTAAGAGGATCCAGAGCCACAAAGGCAACCAACCAGAGGGAGCTTCGCCATGCTACATGCTGCTTTTCTGTCTATGAGGAGGAAAAGTACAGAGTGAAGGGCAGAAACCAAGAAAACAGCAATGCTCAGTCGTCAGCGAATTTTGGACCTAGTGCTACTCCTGATGTTAACCCTTTCAGTGGCTGGTGAGTCTGAATTCCCTTTGAGAGAAAGCTAGGTCAGAGACCTGATGGGAGATCTTGAGCTTGGGACAATGCAAGCCAATTGCAATCCTAGAGATAGAGGGACTACCTCCAGATTTGTATTACTGAATCACCCTTGCTTTCTGTCTTTTCTTATTTATTTTATGGTGATTATATGCATTTCTACAGTTCTTATCCTCTCTCTTCCCATCCCCCCTTTTTTGGAGGAGGGAAGAAAAATAAGGCATATACTAGTAGCAATCAAAGCCACTTAGGTTTTCATTGTGTCTTCCTTCTTGCTTAAAAAAATTATCCTATATTACCTGGATCTACATTGTTAATAGTATACATTGTTAATGTTTATTTCAATGACTTTCTATGACAAGGATTAAAAAATACAATATGCATACAGTTGTACTGGAATGTCTGTATTTATCTTAAAGATATACGGGCTATAGGAGACACTTTCTGAATTACAGGATTAATTAATTACTGGGCTCCTTAGGAGTAGGAGAGAATTTGGGGCTACTGTGGGGGTGTCCTTGTTTCACTACCAAGGGTTGGTAGGAGCTGGTGTGGGAGGGAGTTTTCAGGTTTCACTTTTAGTAGATGGAGCAGCTGTAAGGGGACAGTATAGGTGGTTTTAAATTTTACAAATGATGATTGAAAGGAAAAAAGGGTGCTTTCTCTTCATCTGAATAACTTTAAAAACTTTGTTGTCTGTTTTCCAGCAAAAAAAAAGTCACATGCTATTCTTACTAGTGAGCATGCATTAAATAACCATTCTCTACTAATGTACCTTTCCGTCAAGAATTATCAAAAACATTTCTTCTTTGATCTTTGCACCAACCAAGTACAGTAGGCATGGAAGATATTTCTCCATATTACAAATATAGAAACTAAGGCTTAGAGAGGTGAAATGATTTGACCAAGATTAGATACAAGTTAGTGGATAGGAGAATATGCTTAGTGATAGTATATATCAGCAATCATCATGAAACATTTGAGGGGGCAGTTTTACTCAATATTTTAAAAAATTAAATTATCTTAAAGTGGTTGTAGAAAGAATTTTAAACTCAGCATGTCAATTTCTGAGTACAATGCATGTTGGCCAATTGATATTCCTCAATTTTTAACCCTTATGTTTTTCACTAAGGAGCATGCTTCCAATAACACTACTGAAAAAAGCTGAGCTAATATTTAGTTATGAAAAGTTAGATGTAAAATTTAGTTAAACTTAATGGACTATTAAACAGAACACGTGATCTGAATCTTTCCATAATTGTGATTTTGTTGTAGTAAAGTCTTCTAGAAATCTGTGAAGAACCCAGTTAGGCAAAAGAATCTAGATAGGCAAGGAGCTGTCAATGACAACTTGAACTATTACTTTTACAAAAGGGAAAAAAATAAGATGAAAGAAGTAGATCATTTCAATCTTAAAGAAAAGATAGGTCTAGCCACTGGTGGTTCACGCCTATAATCCTAGTTACTCAGGATGCTGAGATCTGAGGATTGAGTTTCAAAGCCAGCCCTAGCAGGAAAGTCTGAAAGACTCTTTTTTCCAATTAACCACCAGAAAACAGAAAGTGGTGCTGTGGCCCAAGTGGTAGAGCGCTTAGTCTTGGACTGAAGAGCTCAGGAACAGCACACCCAGGCCCTGGTTTAAGCCTCATGACTGACCAAAAAAAAAAAAAAACAAAAAAAACACAAAAAAACCCCACATCTATTTCTTGATGTAAGGAGGAGGAGAGCCTATGTTCATCACATTGTTGATGCCTATGCTTGTGTCATTTTAAAGTTATCAAAGTGTTTTGAATCAAGACATGAAAAAGCCATTTGCTTTATGTAAAGTGATTTGGTGAAGTTACCAAATGGTTTTGAATAAGTCATGAGAAACTACATGGAGCAATGACCTCTCCACTTTATTATTACTGCATTGTTAACTGTACTACCAAAGGAAATAACTTACTATATGCAAGATACATTTACAAAGGAACAGGAGAGCTGACCTGGAGGAAGAGATAAAAAGAAAGGAGTCAATCTCATTAATTTCAGGCTTGTCTTTGTTTCTTGGCTTATGATAGCTGTGAATTGACCTATTATCAATGAAAAACATAAGCTGTTTTTTGGTTTGCTTTCTTTACTTTCTATTTGTTCATAACTTCAAGCAATGTAGTAGCTGCTAAACAAGATATACTAAGAAAATACCTGGGGGGGGCAAAATAATGTAAATAATGTAAATAATCTACTTCTGAGCCAGGTTTACAACCTTGTACCTGGGTTCTTTTTACTTCCATTCTTTATGCTCTATGCTTACCATTTCTTTCTTCTTTCAGCCCTAACATCTTCTAGATTTGTTTTATTGTGTTAAATTTTATTTTTCTGTTCCAATTAAAATAATAATGCCAAGTTATTGATCTTGATAATAGGAGTGGTTAAAAGAAAACCTTGAATATATATATATGTCTATATATATATATATGTGTGTGTGTGTGTGTGTATGTATGTATACACATATATATATATATTCTCTTTTGGGGCTAATTTTTATTCATTTCTCACTATCTTTCACTAGAGGGCAGGCAGTATCTAGAGGAGATAAAATCTAGACTAGTCTTTTGGTACGTTCAGCAGATTGAAGATGGACGAGATGAAAAGCAATTGTGGAACAGAAAAGATTAATTCGCACTCATTTCAGTCCTTTCTTTGTTTCCTGGTGTGTGATAGTTGTGAAGTTGTTACTATAATTTATAGCTATGTTTTACTCTATTTATTCTTAAACAATTAATACAAATCATAAGTCCTTATTAAAAGCATTATATATAGAGGTGTTTGTGTAGAGAATAGTGCCTAAAAGTTATTACAAGCTAAATTAGGAAGCCAGGGCTTTCCTAAGATAAAGCCCTTGGGAAACATTTAAAATTGGTAAATCTAATAATGGCTTAGCAACCGAGTTTAGATTTGAAGAATGTCAAAAGTATGGTGTGTTTTTCTCTCTGGGAGAGATGTGTTTTGAGTTGGGCCTAAATAATAGATTTGGATAGATATGGGAATTCAGAAAAAGAAATTGGGAGGAAATGAGCAACAAGTGCAAAGGCATGATGGTTCTTGGAGAGAATGACTTTTATGTTGATAGCACAGAGATTGTGTATCATATAGTAGGAAGTAAGGCTAGATTTCAAATTCTTGATCGCTAAACAGGAATCTGTATACTCTGAAGTAGATGACGATAGGCCATCTGTTGGTTCTGAAAAGGAAAATAAGGCAATATTTTTGGAGACTAAAGTGTCAGCAATATCCTATGTAATAGTAGCAGCATTTAGTACACAGTTTATTGTGAAGGAGGAATCAAGAATTTCTATGCTGCAAGTCCTACTTTGAAAGTTTAATAATGTCACATTGATTTCTGGGAAGGAAGTTTGTGGAGACAGAACTTAAACCCATTTTAGAGGACGGTTACAGAGAAGGGGAAATGTGGCAAATTCCAGGGTTTGTGAACCATTTATGGAGTGAATGAGCCCACAATGAGAGCAGTGATAGAAATAATAATAGAATAAGCATTAAAATTGGGTTCTAAGAACCATAATTACCTCTTTCATCTCTATAAGAGAGGAAAATCCAAGATTTGAGAGGAGACAATATAATCCATCAATTGAGTACTTAACCTTAAACAGGAGGAAGGAAGTAAAATTGATGCAATTCGATAGTAAGTAAACTCAGAACCACTACAATTTCTGAAACTGAGGCATGAGTTGGGAAATTAAGTACAGGGAGGCTAGTAGGTTGATAGTAGGGAGATGAGAAAGAACAAAGGTGGTTACTTTAGATACATTTTCTGAAGTTTGATCTGAACAGGTAAAGAAGACACGATCTCATTTCTTTCACTCTTTGGGAGGCAGAATGGTTGAAAGACTAAGTCTACATCTGTGGATGCAGTTGCCTCGGCTCTCAGCCTTTTCTTTCTTTCTTTTTTTTTTTTAAATTTAGCTCTCAGCCTTTTCTAGTCTGGTTTCCACTCTAGCACTTTACCAAAACATTTTTCTTACAAATCTTAAAGGTCATGGTGACATTCTTGCTATTGATCATAAAGCTTCTTCATGATTACTTTCAGATTGTTTTCTCCAGGTGATTTGATCTTGATTGTTTTCTATTGTGAAACTTTATCTTTCCCTAGTTTTATGGCAATGCATTTTCTTTCTAATTTTTGTCATTGTTTTTGCTAATGAAAACTTCCTCCAACAGATTTCTATTTATGTGTTTTCTTTTCTTTGTTTGGGGGCGGGGACCCTGAACTCTGGGCCTGGGCGCTGTCCCTCAGTTCTTCAGCTCAAGGCTAGCGCTCTACCACTTGAGCCACAGCACCACTTCTAGCTTTTTCTGCTTATGTGGTTCTGAGGAATCGAACCCAGGGCCTCAAGCATGCAAGGCAAGCGCTCTACCACTTAGCCACCTTCCCAGCCCTACTTATGTGTTTTCAAGACTCCTGGTTTGACCTCTTCTCTAATTTCTACCCTAGCGACAGCAATTTGGCTGGCTTCTGGACTAGATCTGGCTTGTAGATCTTTTAGTTAGCTCATATAATAAATATTTTAAAAAGAATTTTAATTGGTTAATTAGCTGCCAACTGATAATAAATTTGAGAGATTTTACTTGAAATTTCTGAGTTACTCTCTGCAGTTGCTGTGAAGATTAGACCAGATAATACATACAAAGTAAATGAGCATTAAAAAAAAAAAGCAACAGAAGCTCATGCCTATAATTCTAGCTACTGGAGAGGCTGAGATCTGAGAATTGAGGTTCAGAGTCATCCCAAGCTGGCTATCGCATTACATGTCACATACTTGTGCAAGGTTTTTGGTCAATGTTTACTGCCCCTATTCTATTAAAAGCCCCTGGATAAATAGTCTTTGAGTACCTAGATATTATAACTCATTAGATGAATATTCTCAAAGTTTCTATGCTTTATCATGCTAAAAGCTTTAGCATACTGATGGGTGGTAACT